TGTGTGTGTGTGTGGTGTGTGTGTGTGTGTGTGTGTGTGTGTGTGTGTGTGTGTGTGTGTGTGTGTGTGTGTGTGTGTGTGTGTGTGTGTGTGTGTGTGTGTGTGTGTGTGTGTGTGTTGTGTGTGTGTGTGTGTGTGTGCGTGCTGGCAGAGATGGGCTGCCGGCTTTCATTTGGTAGGTGTTGACTGAGAGTGGATACGTGCGCGGCGGGTGAGGGATGGAGTGAGTGACCCTGTCAGCGGGGAGAAAACACCCACAAACGACAACAATGGAGCGAGGGTGCAGTGGGTGGGGCTGATAGACTCTGATGGAGGATTGCGCTGGGATGAATGGATGTGATGCTAAATGACTTGTGATGGAGGAGTCTTATAGAGAGACTTTGAACCATCCCTTCCTCAAGGCTCAGATACCTCAAAGACTTCTAGGGCCAGTAGGAAAGCTGAAAATGGTTTTAAATGGATATCAATGGGAATAAATGTATGAATATATAAAATGTAATTATTCCCTTGCATTTCATGAAGTTATATAGGTGCATAAGATACAAACAAATTATAAAATAATACAAGATTTAAAAGAAACACTCAACAAAGCAAAGTGAAAAGTGAAGAAAAACATTTATAAATTCAAAATATATTTATGTATATTTTCCAAAAAAGGCATGATTAGTATTGTAGCCTTTGTTTATAACTCAACCTTTGTCAAACTCGAAATGTTTCTATAATTGTCATAGTAATTCATTTTATTCCAAATATTCCTTTTACAAGCGATTTATTTTAGTTGCTGAAGTTTTCACATATCAACCAATTCTTTGTTATTGGTCTATTGCAAGGAATCTTATTGATCATGCCTTGTATTTATGTTTCATCTATGATAACAAGTGGGTTTTTATTTACAAGAAGAAGAAGAAGATTCAACTTATTTTCGTTACGTAGTACAGGTACTATGTAACAAAACGGTTTCTCTGCATTTGACCCATCCTACTGTTAGGAGCAGTGGGTTGCCATTACGTACGGCCAGGGAGCAGTGAAATACCAAAAATATTATATAAATCGTTTAGTTATATTTCCCACGAGCCCTTATGACTTTAGATGACCAGGGGCCTCATTTATAAAGGGATATACGCTCAAAAAATGGCGTACGCCAGTTTCTACGCAATGTTTGCGATTTATAAAATACTAACTTGACGGGAAAACGTGCGGTCCTCCACGCAAACTCTAATCCATGCGTACGCACTAAGCACAACAACGGGAGAGACGAGAAACTGCGACACCGTTGGCAGAAGGAAGAATGGAGAGAAATATGTGGAAATAATACCATAAACAAAATGTTACCTCTCATTTATCATATATGAAGAATTCATTTTCAAACATTGATTAAAGACAATCTTAAAATGATGAAACAAACGCCTGTTTGTGACTCCTCAGTGCACACAAAAACATAACTTGGAGAAATAAATAAATACGGATATGTTATTTAAAACCACCATCGAATATGTTGTGTTAATGTTATGAAATGTTTTCTCATAAATGATGCGGTTTTGCATTTCTAGGTTGTACGAGCATGGTTTTATATACTACCATGTTTAATCATGTTTTATGCCGTTTGCTAAGACTTGATAAGTCGCTCATAAAACACAGGAGGTATGGAAACTAAGAACACCATATGTGTGGTAAATTGTACAGCTAATATAACACAACACATTAGTTGTATTTCCTCTAACTGGTGGATATAGAGTTGCTGCAGTGGAGACGCTGCGCACAGCTGATCGACAGCTGGAACACAAACCACTAAATACGAAAACATAATTCAGATCCAGTCGTCATGACTCCACTCCGGAGGGATTCCCCGATCATTTCTTACAGTCTCTCATCAAGAGGGTGTCTCCTGTCCCCGGTACAAACACACTGCCTGAGGAAGGCTATGTGTATTTTTTTTGTCATGAACCTTTTTCGGACCACTTATTTATTTATTTTGGTGACGATCCGACCGCCATGCTGCTGGTTCAAACGGCATCCACCAAACAATATGATTTATCTCGACCTCCCCAAAATAACCAAAATCTGACACGGTGTGAGATGTCTTTTTTAGCTGTTCTGTCGTCATTTCCTGCGATCTTCTTCATGCAGTCAGTCAGAATGAATGAATGGGCGTTTCTTTGACTATTTATAGGCAAATATGGGCGTTACGTGAAGCCCGCAAAAGCTGCACCGCATTTCGAGTCGATTGTGATTTATAAAGGGAAACCGGCGTTGTTTGGTGAATCGGAAAATGTCTGTACCTATTTTTTGGATTTCTACTACGTAAGCAACCTTCCCACGTGAATCCTACGCACGGCGTTATAAATGAGGCCCCAGAACATAATAAAGACAAAGCTGCCTTTATGTTACATCCCATGTTTATTTTCTCAACCCTCCCTCCTAAAAAATGTGATTCTTATCCAACTCAACTCCATCCTCAATTACGTTTTAAGGATATATTTTATACCAGATTATGATGGCAGTTTTAAACACGTCGTAATGTTGTGAATTTAAATGAACAAAACACAACAAAAATATAAGGTTGTTAAAGCAACAAATCTATCACGTGTTGGCAATAAAACGGTTAGATTCAGTGAATGATAATGGTCCAGAATTCCATGTTCTATGTTATTGACGTTACACACTTAAATAGAAAATATTTGTCACAATAGACTGCGGTTTCTAATAGAAAATAAAAAGAGGGCTTCTTGGTGACCAATACATCCAACCCTACGTCTCCGTGGACCTTGACTGCAAACGCTGTTGTGAAGCTCCGAAATCAAACAATGAATTTCCCTTGACCTGTGATGGACAATGCATTGTTGTGAGAATATCACTTCTAAGAAACCAGGTAGCAGGAAAAATAACTAGCTATCTGTCAAAGGAAACTGTAACCCTTTCTACTGTTAGCACAAAATGCTAATGACCAACCGTGGGCCGATTTCCATGCTGCCGAACGGATCTTAGAGGGCTGCACATGATCCACAAATACATCTCTGATGCCGGAAAGACTTTGATGTTGAATATGTGCAGGACATAAATACACACAACCGATCAAAATACCCCACGCTGGTCTCTGCATCCTACTCTTTTTTTGTTTCATCCGGCTTCTCTTACCACACAACCACACACTAATACTGTATTGTGGTTTACGCACAGAGATAATGCCGTGATGCATTTGCAGTCATTGAATTTCCTGCCGTGTTGTCCTGCTATACTCAAAGGCAATATACTATATAGCAAAAGCCAATTAGAGCGGGATGTACTGTTGCTGAGAAGCCTCCACAAAGGTCAGTCCTTGAGAGTGGCATTAGGTGAGATGGGCGGAATGGAAAAATACGGTCAGCCATTACTCTTGTCCTGCCACTGGCCTTGTGTGATATAAAGTGATGGTAGTGTGACCTACACATCATCCTGAATGTACAGAGCATCACACACGGAGCTTTACTTATCTGGTTTATTTACCACTTTCTTTTTTTCCATAATCATTAACTAGCCTTGAGCTCATGACATAGCAAATAATCAATCGTCCTCCTGTGTAATTATACCATCATTTACTCTGTATTGAATGGAGGAGATTTTAATGGCAGCAGTAGCCATCCATATGGATATAGTTGAGTTTTTTTGCGTTGTAAACATTTAAAGGAGATCTTTGGTGATATCACACCTTAAAGAGGACATACTATGGTCGTTTTCAGGTTCATATACGTATTTTATGTCTCTACTGGGACATGTCCACATGCTTTAATGTTCAAAAAGCTCCTTATTTTTCTCATACTGCCTGTGCTGCAGCACCTCTTTTCACCCTCTGTCTGAAACCAGAGCCCAGTCTGCTCTGATTGGTCAGCTGGCCGAGTACAGGAAAGTATAAACCCCAAAAAGCATAATGGGGACCTCCCTAAGCAGTTGACCTATCACAACAGAGCTGGTCAGCTAACCACTCAGAGCAGACTGGGCTCTGGTTTCAGACAGAGGGTGAACAGAGGGTCTGAGTATGATACAAATAAAGACCTTTTTCAACATTAAAGCATGTAAACACGTCACAGTCGAGGCACAACATACGTATATGAACCTGAACATGTAAGGTTCATGTTGAGAATAAGTAGAAGTAAAAAGCATTCATGTATTTCTAAGACATACGGCATCGATGAGTAGTGCCCTAACGGTACGTCCACACAGCAGCTTTTCAAAAATCTTGAAAATCTTGGAGCTGGGCGTGTCTGAAAGCTTGGGGATGTTTTGCGAGCAACGCGACCAACAACCAATCACATGAATCTCCCGCCCCCGACATACAAAGCAAAAAACCCCGGGGATTTTATGCGAGCAATATATATATATATATAAACTCCCCAAACAGGCGAAAACCTACCAGTTTCACCCACTGTCTCTGCCACCTCCCTCCATGCCTGGTTCCTCCGGTTTGTATCCCGTTAATAGTTCTGGTCGTAAAGAACCGGGTGATTTGCTACCGTAATTTCTCGTTTGGAATATGAGGAAATGAACTGCGGTCTGGCTCTCCCTGCTTACACGCGGTTTGATTGGCTAGCGCTTCTACTATCAGATTTGCATAAACGTGATTTGATTGGCTGACGCTTCCAGCTCAGCTTCAAAAGTTGAACATTGCTCAACTTTTGAATCCTGGAAATCCTGGAAATCTTCGCTTCGCTCCCCCACAATGCAGTTCGGCGAAAAGCGAGGCAAAGTGACGTCATCCCCATTCAAAGTCAATGGGCAGAGAAGCGTTGGAAGTGGTGGAAGATTCGTCTAAGCTGCTGTGTGGACGTACCGTAAGTCCTACTGTAAGGCTGCACACCGCCCCAAAAAGTTCAAAAATAATCACAGCCTGTTTACAACATGACAGACAAGCCCAGGGTAAAAAGAAATACAAACAGCTCTCCCTACGTCCACTGCTCGGAGCACATGTTAATAATCCAAAGTGACTCAGATATGTACATAAACAATCTCAATTTCTCCAATTTCAGCTCCCCCTCATCTCATCGAGAAACCCCAAGATGTCCAGAAGCTCATCGATGAAGCCATGGTGTGGGAGTGTAAAGCCACCGGGAAGCCAAAGCCTTCGTACAGGTGGATGAAAAATGGAGAGAACCTTGAGCCTGTGGAGGTAAGAGATCTGTCTTTAGATCAGAGATACAGTTCCTCTTCCAAGGTTACGCCGGCACTTTGGGAGAGATGCTTTTTGCTGCTGAATGAAGAATGTGAGCAAACCTGACTAACTGTAATCTCACAGCTCTATTGTGCTGTCTGTTCAAGACCAATTACCATGCATGATTGTGTTTTTCATTACAACTGGGTGCCTCCTGTGCGGCAATACATTAGGCTTTTTGCTTTGGAAAGACACCATTTATTTCAAAGGAATTGCTCCGTGTATGTGCGGCGATAAAACACTAAACAGGCCCATGTAAGTGATGTGAGCGCTTCTCGAATCTTCTGTTAAATCTCTCTTGGCCAAGTGCAGTTATTAATCCTGTGCCACCAAATATGAAAAAGTAAGATTCTTTATATAAACACCGTATATCCTACTTTCATTCTAGCCCCCTCTGAATTCCCATTATGTGTACAATGATGAGCCGATTGTGGCTCCAAACGTGTTCATCTTGTGCAAAGCTGTGCACGAATATGATTCAATATTCCTCCATCATATTGGATTATAATATTGGATCCTTTCTCCAGGTTGTTTGGGAAAGATTGATTGGACACTGAGGCACAGCTTGCACCTGATAAATAAACAAGCATTATGTTCATTTGCTTCATTATGCAAAAAAGGCGACAGACACACCAGAGGATATCGATCAGTGCTTGAATGTTGTGCATGCTGTTTGAATGAACCCGGGCTGTCGTTATTTTACCAGAGGCAACCCTCTGCTGCAAAGCCTCCTCCTCATACAAAACACATTTGGCTCGCTATCAGGCAGGAGTACTCAACAATCTGTTCAGCCAATGGCCAACAGTTTTATCAAAACCTTTCTGAAAGTAACACTCTTGTGTTGGACTGCCCATCTGGTTTTATGGATACAACATGTTTGTGAGTTGAACCAGGACACTACAGGCATGAACTGGTGAGGGTTTGGGCTCTATTGGATTGGAAAGATAACATCCAAAATACAAATGAAGATGTTCATTTTACTAACTTTGTCAATTGTATTGTGTTTATTTATCCTTAATGCAACACAAGTTGGCATTACATGTTACTTGTTAGACGCTTTTATCCAAAGCGACTTACATACTCAATACTGTGGACAATCCCCACAGGAGCAATTTGGGGTGAAGTGTCTCAAGGACACAATGACTGCAGTGGGGTTTGAACCTGTGACCCCCTGATCCGAACACCAACACACTAACCCACTGCACCACACGCCTCCTCATTAGATCATATTCAACATGTCAGTGGTCGCTGTATAGTTCACTTGGTAGAGCTGGTGTCTCCCCCTTTCTGTCATGTCTATACGGCACTTGTGGCCTGACAAAATCTTTTAAAAAAGTAAATGGTCCATCTTATCTTATCTTAAAAGCAAATCTGAAAAACCTGATCAATGGACTATGAAATGCAAAATATAGGTAATGTTGCAATTCATGACTTTGAAAGCTGTTTTCTTAAAAGAAACATGTCCACTTCATACAGTATGTCATGCCTTACAGCGATGTTTCATATATAGCCTAATGTATTCAACAACATTTGAGCATGCTGATTTTCTTATTTCCGGAGCAATACAAAGAGCTCCTACATTTATTTTACAGAATAAACCAAACATTTTCACATTTTCCTGGAACTATCCAATGTTCTGGAACTGATGTAATAAGATGTATATACAAAACAAAATACATTTAGAAACATTGTAATACAAACATATGTGTTGGATTGTTATTTGCCTTTCTTTTGACCAATGTGCCTGTAGTCTCCTTTTACATTATAATATTGGAGACACGCTAATAACCAACTTGTAATGCATACTTCAACATTACATATACATATTTATATAATTTAATCTAGTTAAAGTGACCGTAATCCTTCCCCTTCCCCTTAATTCTGATTACATTTGAATAAAGTCAAACACAGGAGGAATTACACTTATATCTCACCACACTCAGCCATCTGGTTTCCAATGCATTTCAATCCATGTGTGATTAAAGATTACAATGACTCTGATGATTTCTGTGCAGCAGTTTTCCTCCCAACATAAATATAATTAATGGACATATTCAGAATGCATGGGTGAGTGGATTGATTACCAAAGGTGTTGAATTGTTTCAAATGCCACCATTAACCACAGTGGCTTAATGAGTGGAAGAGGGAAAGGTCAATGATGTACGCAGCAGCGGTGGGAAGAGGATGCTCCATTTGTTGTTATTTATTGCAGCGAATCAATTGAGACCTTTCTGACTGGTTTATTTCTGCTGACACTTTTATAAGTTTGAGCAACAGAAATTGAGCAATCAATAAGACAAACTATAATAAAGTGAGGTGCTCTATCGGAAGATTGGCTATACAGTGCAGTGCATGCCCGGGAGTCATTATATATATATATCTGAGAATATGTGCATTCAATTATTCAATGTCAGTCATTTAAAATATTTAACAACCCCCAACTATTCCTAGTGTTTCACTCTAATAATAGTATAGCTCTCAGACTGGTTCCACAATCATTTTGCTCTTTGTTGGACAGCAGTTGACATGCAGCTTCATACAATATTTCACATGCCCTTATATATTATGAGACTCCTATTTTCCTATGGGATGCTTTGTGTTACTGCCCTGAGTCAAAATAGCAATCATTTATTGAGATGCTTCTTTTCACGTGGCTGTTCTTCTTGGAAAGCACCTCTCTCCAGGGTTGGGAGGGTTACTTTGTAAATGTAATCAGTTACTGATTACTGAATACATGGCTCTGAAAGTAATCCGAATACAGTTACAGTTGTGTGTCTTAAAAACGTATTGAGATTACTTTTAGATTACTTTTGGTTTACTTTCTTTCTCCATCACAGATATGTTTTGGTGAACAGGAGACACAAAGAGCACAACTGAAACATCACATCTGAAACGATGTAACAACATAATACACTTTTTGAGGATGCAGCTTGGGATGTGAGGAGTGAGGGACACGGCTTTGAACGGGCGTGTCGCCTTCTGTCCTGCCAGTGTTGGCAGGACATGAATTAAAATGTCGAACTCGGACTTCATTTTAAGGACATGTCGGCCAGGGGTGGAGAGCTATATTTGTTTAACCACCGGATTGGCAAAACATGAGAGTGTGTGCACCAGTCTGCCTTGATCTATGAATTCATGTCTGTGACACTCACAGTATCTGCTGCCCGCAGCTGTTTTATAGAAGGAACACCTCCTTCACTTCATGAAATCTCTGCAGCAGCGGGAGGGTTCACTCAGCCTCTGAGAAGACGAGCGCGCCGTGCCTTTCACTGTGTTCACCTTCAGAATCATTAGAAAGGCTAAAGAGCGACCGCAGGCTGATGTGTTTTAACCACACACACACACACACACACACACACACACACACACACACACACACACACACACACACACACACACACACACACACACACACACACAATTTAAACGCATACTTTTGTTCCTCCATGTTTCGTTGTTATCGTTTCACTGAGCGGACCCGCCCCTTTTTTTATTTTAAAAAGCTCCCTTTTTTGGTCCATCTGAGGCGGTAATAGGTTTTGTGCGCTGTGATGAATCGGCTGTACCTTTAATAATGAATATTAAATGTTGAGAGGAAATCTTTCCACCAATAATTTCATTAAGTATTCCGAAATGTATTCACTTCAGGTTTAGGAAAGTAACTGTAATCAGATTACTCGTTTTTCAAATGTAACGCGAGCTGAAAACAGTTACTTGATTTTTGTATTCTGATTACGTAACACCATTACATGTATTCCATTACAACCCAACCCTGCCTCTCTCTCTGCTGCGTTATTGACAATAGCCCGAGGATTAAGTGGATGTGCAATTAAAGAGAAACTCCAGCGTGAAACAGGATTGAGTCCATTTAAATTAGGTGGGACCGCCATACAGAGGGCTGGCAACAATGTACTTGAACTGAGGTTATTCCTGTTAGTGTTGCAGTGGTGAAGACTTTGGAGCCACGGATGGACGATCAGTCATGGAAAGCATCTCACTATTTTTCTACTGGTGCTTGAGTATTTACTACTTTTACTCCAATACAATTCAGACGCAAATTACAATTAATTAATATACGTATTTTGAGCCCAGTCTGCTTTGATTGGTTGGCTCTGTGGCTCTGTTGTGATTGGCACGTACAATGTGTTGGAGCGCTAGCCAATAGAAGTACAAGTGTTATGTACTGATGTCACTATGTTAAGGAAGTAGGCAAATGAGTCCAATGGAGACGTTTTGAGGGGGGAGTGTGTGGGAGAGAAATTCCCTCTGGAGGGAACACAAGGAGTTTAGCCTTTTCAGAATACTTTGAATACTTTTAAATCCAGGCTGAAGACTTTTCTTTTTGTCGCTGCTTTTAATTGAACTATTCATATCTTAGACTGCACTGTAACTTTTATCCATGTATTTTTTCTTTTAATGTTTATTTTATTAGCTTTTCTTTTTAATGACTGATTTTAAATGCCCTTTTCTTAATGTCTTTCATTTTTTGTAAAGCACTTTGAATTGCCTTGTGTTGAAAAGTGCTTATATAAATAAACTTGCCTTGCCTTGCTTGCCTGCTTGCCTTGCCTTGCCTTGCCTTGCCTTGCCTTGCCTTGCCTTGCCTTGCCTTGCCTGCCTTGCCTTGCCTTGCCTGCCTTGCCTTGGCCTTGCCTTGCCTTGCCTTGCCTTGCCTTGCCTTGCCTTGCCTTGCCTGCCTTGCCTTGCCTTGCCTGGCCTTGCCTTGCCTTGCCTTGCCTTGCCTTGCCTTGCCTTGCCTTGCCTTGCCTTGCCTTGCCTTGCCTTGCCTTGCAGACCATTTGCATGCACAAAAACCTATTTAACACACCACGTACATCGGCTGAAATACCTGAAGGCTGTTTTTCCAAGGTTAGTTTTTGCTGCAGGAACACATAGAGCTGGGTCTGAGAATCAGTAACTGTCTCAGGCACAGGAGCGACAATAAATAAGGTGGTCATTTTTGAAGTCCTTTATAGATGAATAGATAAAGTGCTGATGCTGCCTGATAGAGAGGCAGCCCACCTCCTAATATAAAACACAATGCCGGTGCCATGTGGGTCGACTGTAATAAATCTGAGCGCTGAATGATTGACAGCTTCTAGATGTTTAAGGCTGGGGACAGGAGCATCTCTATAAATAACATCAACATATTACAATACAGAGAGAAAGGTTGCTCACACATTCCTTTCCCTACGATAAAATGAAAACAGGACCAATTTAGCCACCTTATATTGAGACTTTGGTGTTGTATACAGGTTTTAAAAGTAAATGTAATCCATCTAATAGCTTACAAGCAGAAGAACTTGCACATTATTATAAGCTTTCATGTAACATGGGAAGGGGGATAATGTAAATGGCTTGTTGAATCCAATGTTTTCTGATTGGCAGCCCATAGAAAAAAGACAACATTGCCTTATATTACAGTTGTTGGGGTTGTGGGATGGTCCAGTACCCAAATGTGTGTGCACAAGCACTGGAAAAGTAAGTGTTCACAATGTCGTATTTAAAGAGAGATCAGAAAACAACAGTTGATTTCCTTAGCTCTAGAAAAAACCGACATAAAATGACTCAGCAGATTCATATTAATACTACAAAATAGAATCAACAATATTATGGTTGAATATTATGAAGAAATGTCAGACTTTAAAACTTCAAATTCACGAGTTACCCACTATGTATACAGTATATTGTTAAATACATGTTTTTCCTTTTTACAGCTGTAATAAATAAACAATAAAATACACATGTTTCCAGAGTTGTCCATCTGCAATGTGAATGCAGTAACAGAGTGTTTTAACACGGTGTTCTTGCTACTATAATACTAATGGAAAACAGATCTTAGCGCTGATTCCACCACTGTGGCTGATTCTAAAGCATCACTTCCCACTGATTCCCCTGCTAATTCAAGCTCAAGTGGAGCGAACAGGCTGAGCTTTTTGTTTTGCTGTTGCAGCTGAGGTCATCTTCCTGCAGTTCTTTCTTACACAAGCAGGCATGTTCAGTAGAGTCATCAAACATCTGTCAATAGCTGATTTAGTTCACAGTGAGCACAAATAATCTTAGGAACATATAACTTGGCAGGTCAAAATCTAATTCACGGCTCATTTGTTGCCTTTTTTTTTTTAAACAAACATTTCCTTAGATCCTCATTGGTGGAGGTGTCTTGTTTTGATTATATACAAATGTTGCTTTTAATTTAAAATGTACAGCTGTGAAATGATTCCCACAAAGGCTTCCAGTAATTAGTTTGAGAATAACTGTTGCCAGCAATCAAAAGCAAAACCCTCCCTTTACTGAACCATAAAAGTCGTTCCTTCATCCTGACAATCTTTAACAATCTTTTTGAAGCTTTATATAAAACAAAATCAACCCAGCGTTGTTGGCAAATGACATTGCCAATCATTCTCCTTCAGCATAAGGCGTGCAGATGGTCCCCCCAGGTCCCCGGCATGAGAAACTGCTGATTTGAGAGGAACGTCATGCTTAATTAATAGCAGCCGTAAACGAGAGTGCTTTCCATGCACAGACTGATGTATGCCACCGTTTGCCTCTCCCTTGCCAGCAGGGATATTCGCCCCTGCACATCCCGAGCGTTATGGAAATGTAGGCACAACCTGCTCAAACACAGGATTAGTTTGTGATCTTTCCGTGAGGACGGTCTTTATTTTCTTGCGTCAGTACCTTAATCCCCGTGACTAGAGTTCAAGCCTATGGAAAAGGGGGTTGTAATGACATTATGGGTGTGCCCGAGGAAAAGAGACGAGATGAAGGGCACGAGGAGGCAGAACCTGACACGCCTGCATAGAGATGTATGAAAACTGCTCAAGGACTTAATGCTGTAGTGGAGGAGTTGAGTGAGAAGAGATGAACTTATATTGAGGATTATATGTCCAACAGATGCAGCGATCCAACCAGTTCATCAGGCCCAGCCATCCTTACATAGATCTTAATTTGATGGCTCAGTGACGAGCTACATTTATCCCACGGACGGGCGAAAAAAAGCTCCAAACAGATGAAGAGGAGGTGCAGCTTGACCGTGTACACATCGCTTAGTATGTATGGGGCATATCTATCAGAAAAGTAATTTTCACAATGCATTATACCTCAGATGTTACGATATGCCTTCCCCAGTTATCCCCTCTTCCTGCTGAAGGGGAAACAGCCCCTGTGGTGCAGTCGGAGATATAAATAGGGCATGGTTTTATTTCACTCTCACAAACATGCAGATTGATTAGGGTCATTTTCTGCTAGCCTGCCTCCATCCACCCAAGCCTTTCCCTCCATTAGTGATGAAAACCTAGATTTATTGCCACGTCTGTCACTTCCGGACCATATTTCTCTGGCCCGCTGGATGGCTGTTTTTATGTCGATGAACGCTGGGAATAAAGCATATTAAAGGCACGTGTGTCTCTGTGTCCATAGGAGCGCATACAGGTGGCCAACGGAGCATTGACCATCAGCCGCCTGACCCTGTCCGACACAGGGATGTACCAGTGTGTGGCCGGGAACAAGCACGGCGAGGTCTACTCCAACGCAGAGCTCCGAATTATAGGTAAGGCATTAGTTGGTTGTGTGTCTGTTAGAAAAACATCCCTCGTCACCGGCTTGAGCTTCAATCTCAGGATACATGTATTTATTGTCCTCTGCAGAATGGAAGTAGTCATCACATACAGAGCATCAACTAGTTCCTGAACAGTGTCCTTCCCATGCTGATATCCAAGAGAGGGAGTTACACAGTCACAAGATGGAGGAGTAGAAAGCAGTATTCAATGTTTACTTCAGATTAGCTCCACGTCAGAAATGAGCATGCTTGTCATATGTCTATCTCCATAGAGGCTGAATCATCATGTTAATCACATAGCTATCATCTGCCTAAAACAGTCCTGATGCTCTTCTAGGTAATCACACATCCTGTCATGTTCACAGCTACAGTTGGGATACCTTTGTTATCAGGTTACTCTGATATTGGAAGAGGACATTCAGTACTTTCCCAACAGTGTCCGTTTGCAAAGACATGTGATGATTTGCATTTGTTTGTCCATATTGTTCTCAAGTTTGCTTCGTCTTCTGCTCAATACCTACCGGATGACCTACGGCCTCACTGTTATTGGCCGCTAAAGCATTAATTATAGGACGAATGCGTCCTGCTGACAGTGATGTATTCCCAGCGCTGCTCCGTCCACCATCTGCCCCGTCAGGACTGTCACTCTGTACTCCCCGCAGTTCTTAGTCACTATTCATCTTCCAACACGTCTAGTCCTGATCATGTTGCTGAAACAAATCCAACTGAACAAAGCAGAGGGGTCAAACTTAAGTTTTGAAAAGTTGCAAAGATATTGAAAGGTGGATTTTTTGATTTTTCAATTGTTTACACCCAGGAGGAAGCAAGTCCTTAACTCATAACATAGGTTGCTGAGTACTTCCCTCTTATACTGTAACGACCATTCAAGATCACCTAAATAACTGCACCTACTGGTGGCAGAGGGTCAGAATGTCCTCAAGCCTAAATGTAACAATCAAATGCTTATACATACTTATATTTACCTCGTTCTGCATCCATCACAGCAAATTGGACTGAGTTTATGATGCCTGTTCTCAAACATGACTCCAAAATCTTTGAACGAGCTCCCCATTGAATTTTGGTCAGCAGAAAGTCTATACATCTTTTGTCGCAAACTGAGAACCCACCTGTTTCCCCCGAACGTGCCCGTTGAAAATAAATAAATAAATAGCACTTGAGTTCAGCCCAATTGAAACTAATGCACCAGCACTTAAAGCGAATATACCTGTACTTTCCTTTCAATGTAATTTCATGTCATGTAACTATGGTAACGTGTGGAACAGTCGTTTATATTTAGGTTTAGGCATCAGAAGTACTTGGTTAGGTTCATGAAAAGGTCATAACTTAGGGTTAGGGTTAGGGGTATCCTCCTGAATGAAAGTCAATCAAGCTACATTTTATGCAAATATAGATACAAGAAAGCTAGCCAATCAACGTTGCTATATTTTACCCCTTTTTGCTCCTCCTCTCCTGTCTATTTGTGGCTGTCCTATCAAAAAAATGCAAAATGGCCAAAACATCATCATAATGATAACTGAAAGATGACTAATGGTCGTCTCCTGGGTGAAAGTCCTCGGTTTGTTTGAATCATCCATCCAGCCCCACCTAATTTTGTAGAGATTTCCCCTGATCTGTTCCTAAACTCTAACCCATGAGACTGATTTGAATCTAAACCGTGATCTTTTCTTGAACCTAACCAAGATTATTTAGTGATGAGCTAAAGAACAAGACATTTCAGTCCCTACTGAGAATAATTTTAGAGTTATAATCTCTTCAACCGCACATCATTAATTATAGGCTTTGCTATTAGCTTTTTGATTACCAATTATTCAGATAGTGAATAATGTAATCTTCTGTCTTCAATTGACCACGGCAATAAAGAAATGTATTTATGAACTCATTATCCAAAATGGTGGGAAGAAAAGAACAGAATTCAATTATATATCCGATAAATCGTCAGAGATAATATGAAGGATGAAAAAAAGTGAGGTTTTAATTTGCCGCTCTTGTCTCAGCTGTTGCCCCAGATTTCTCTCACAACCAACTGAAGAGCCAGACGCTGGTGAAGGTTGGAGGAGACGTGCTCATCGAGTGCAAACCAAAGATGTCTCCTTGGGGTGTGATCTCATGGCGGAAGGGCAGCGAACCACTCCGAGAAAGTAACAGGTAACACAACATGTATTCATTTTGTTCTGCTTCTACCCCGCTGTGAGGCTTTGGCTTCTCCTCGCGTGTTCTCATTACTTTTAGCTAAGTAGGGATCCCTGGTGGCCGTGTTCGTCTGCAATAATACAGACAAATCTTTTGCTAGACAACACTTGCTCCTTCCAGATGTACCGTCTTGTTCCCATTTGAATATGTAACGTTCAGATTAAGTCATCTGTTTCCCCCAGCTGGTTGCAAAATTGGACGAGAGTCAAGTATGATGTGAACGAAGCAATCGCATTTTCACTGCGACCTTCATTCAATGTGTCTTTTCACTAGGTAATATAACATACTGTACATTATGGAGGGAAAATGTCCTTCTTTTCTAGTTTACATGTTGTTCACTACCACAAGATACTGCATATTGTAAAATCATTACCAGAATATATAATAATAATCCTTATATTTATTATAGCGCTTTATCAATGACTCAAAGCGCTTTACAAATACAGATCATACATACATGTAATGGTCATCTACTGTGGACAATACCCACAGGAGCAAGTTCAGGTGAAGTGTCTTGCCCAAGGACACAACGGCTTTACAGACGCAGCGGCGGGTTTCGATTTCACCCCCTTGATCTGATAATCATTGCACAGCGCACTGCGCCACACCGGCCATCTTCACACCTCAAAGTCATCGGGGCGCTTTTACAAGTACACATTGGTATTATACATGTACTGTGGACATTACCCACAGGAGCAAATTCGGGTGAAGTGTCTTGCCCAAGGACACAACGGCCTGACGCAGTGGTGGCGGGAGCGGGTTTCTTCAAGTTTTGTATGTCACTCCCCTTTCAAACTGATGATCAAACCCACAGACCACTGCGCCACCCGTCACACACGATGTATGGCAACAGTTCTCGGTTTTCACTTTTTCTGTTCATACAAACGAGAGCACTTTGTGAACAAAACTTAGCCAACTTTCATTGGGCCAGTTCGGCAACACAGCAGGATTACCTTGCAATTATCTGCACTAACCAATTCAATACCATTAAGATAAGCCCACATTACTTTATAACTGCATTTCTGTTGATTTACAATGGGCAACTTCGGTGTTGAAAAAAGTGCCTCAAATCTTCGTTCTCTTAAATCTGGAGCAGTGTGCACCTCCACTGGTTGCTTGAATACAAAAATGCAAATGTGTGGAGTTGGAAGGGAAAGTGATCTTAATTTGTCTGTACCTATATGCGTATAATCTGTTTGTTTGTGCCATCTTTTTTAATTTAATTGAAGTCTATGAGAAAATTACCCTATTTATTTCTCGATTGAATTAGTACCTCGGTAAACATTTTCCTAATGAGGTTATGGGCTTGGTCATTAGTTTGGATTTGTCTGCAATACAGAATGATGTTGACTTTAATGTATTATTATTATTATGAAAAGATAAGACGGTTAAGCAGGGTATACTTTAGGTACTGGCTACCTGGGTATGAGTCCTAGAACTACAATACTTTCACTGTGTGTCGTTAGCTGTCTAACCCTACAACCCAGTCTCACGGCATTTCGTGTTATAGTCACGAAATATAATCTATTGATTTGTGTTCACCAACATGATTTTCCCATTTATTTTTCGTGTCACACAGAAAAGCAATGTATTTCTATTGGTAGTATGTTTCGTGCCTGCGCCACGTCTTTTTGTCCGGTCGGGTCTTGGTCTTGTGTGGTTCATAAAAACATGTTCTTACTCAATATCAAGCCACGATTATTGTTTTTATTTTAAATTGTATAATGTCAGACTTTTTTTGCCGTCCACGAGGAAAATAAATGTGGCTCAGAGCCTCAGAATACTGAAATCTGTATTTTTAAAGTATTTTTTTCCTTCTAATTTGTGCAGGCACGAAACATACTACCAATAGAAATACATTGCTTTTAAAATCGTTCTGTGTGACACGAATAAAATGGGAAAATCCTGTTGGTGAACACGAATCAATAGATTACATTTTGTGACTATAACACAAAATGCCGTGAGACTGGGTTGAACCCTAACCCTAAGCATTCTGTTGTACTTGGTTCCAAAAAAATCAAGTTAGCGACTCCAAACATCCAAGATGGTGACTTCAAAAAACCAGGATGGTAGTATGGCCAAACTCAAGGCTTCAAACATGGTCCACAAACCAATTGGCAACGTTAGATTGACCAAGTCCTCTTCTGGTATACAGTTCATGATTTTATCTCACAATAGTAAAACATAAAATACTTGCGAATACTGATCCTTTCTCGTAGTGTTCACAGTAAACTGTTCAATGTGGTGTTATAGTGTCGGTCAAGCCTTCAAACTTATGTAAGTTGTATTTACAACTGACCTTCCAACCAGTGGCGAACCGTGTCTATCACAACTGGACCTTCTGTAGACACACACACCGCCGACCGCCGCCCCCGGCGTTATAATGTCCGTCTTTTCACTGAATGGTCGTCTTGAAAAGGGGTACTCACAACAATTCTGCAACAACTTCATGTTCACCTGTTGCACTTGTCATTTCAACGTTAAAAACAATAAAACGGCATGAATTGCTTCGTCTCATTCATCTGGATCCTCTGTCTCGAGCCAGTTAACTAGCGGGCCTTCTAGAATACCCTGGAACCGAGGGGAACTCTGAAAGAACACGCCCATTGGCTACAAATCAATTATGATTGGTTGATCAAACTGTCAGTCCAAACGTACGCTCTCATTCAGTGCAACGGCCAGGGCATTCGATCAAGGATGTAGAATACCTTGGTTGAAGGATATTCTACCCAGAGACCCAGAAACAGATCTGATTGGTTGCTTTCTTTTCTAACACAAAACCACTGAAATGCGAAGTGCATGGTCCGAGAAGGACAAACAAATCAACGTAACACTGTAATATTACAGATCAACAACACGGATACCATTCTCATTTATTCATTTTATATACATTTAATTACATTTTATTTATATAAGTAAATCGATTTTTTGTTTGTTTTATCTGAGTGTTCCAGGGTATTCTCTGAATACCTTGAAGGCCCTGACGGTTCGTCACTGCTTCCAACACATATCCAACAAAGCAGTGCTGAAAGATGTCTTACTTTGCTCCAGACTACTTGGTCACAGGAGGTCCTTGCCTAATTGTTCTGTCAGAATTGTCCCATAGAGTTGGCTGCAGTGATGGGGTTTATGATGATGTCCCATGGTGACTTGTCTTCTGTTCTTCCATAATATATGAAATGCTTGCTTTTAATGACCATTTTTAACTCAAACAGCCAGCACGTTTTTTAGATGTCACAAAGTATTGAATTTAAATTACACCAAAAGCCTCCAGTCACTTTGGCCTTTCTTTTTGCAGGATGCATGAGGAGATGTTTTATGTTGTTGTCAGATGTGGTTAGATCAGCATAGGGAAAACCTGCATGAAGACTAAATGAGTAATACTTTATGAGGTTTGCTGTGTTCTAACTAAGTGCTTAGAACTTTTCAACTCAGCGGGATGACGAAATCTAATTATTCAACGTCTGACACCCCGTTTTCAGTGGAACAGAGGGCGATCTTAGTGTCTTGCCGTATTTGACCCCTGGGGTGCGACGTGTGCTACATGAGATACACTTCCCACTGTGTTTGTTTGTGTGTGTGTGTGTGTGTGTGTCTGAATGAAGTGTGAAGTCTGGCCCTGTAGCCTCATCGCAGCCAGGGGTCATCCATCGGGTGTCACCACTCTAGCATGACTCTGCTCTGACAGCGGTTGTGTGCTCACTGTCTTGCCAGCCTTTGCATGTACACAAAGCAGTGTTGCTGCTTGTCAAACAAAGTGGTGTGGAATTTGCATAGTGGTTTCGCTGCTGGTGCCCTTCACTCGCCCTGTGTCAATGCCATCAAACATTTCAACCTCTCAGCACCTGGGCCATTTTCTCCCTGTTGTTTTGAATTCATAGCTCAGATTGATTTCACATTTGTCTTTGGTGTGACACGACTAGACGTCCTCCTGGCATGATAAATGAAATGGCCGTGTCCCAATGCTAAGTAGGTGCTTTGTATTTTCGGAAATTCTACCACTGCATGCACTTGTCCTTTGGTGTTCTTGTTTATCCCAACCATAAATCACAAAATGACCAACTGCTGTGAGGAAAAATTAATGATTCAAGATTTGAATCATCAAAGTGTAACTCTATAATAACTCTTAAATAATAGAAACAAGGGAATTATTCTGTTACTGTGATGGATTTATACTGCAGCCATTTAGTTATTTGGTGCTCTCAGAGAAACATGAAAATAGACAATTAGTAGATGGATTTCTTTAACTCTGTCTTTGTTCTGCTATACTGTTTGATGTTCCAAAATATGTCATAATGCTTTAACTCACCTTAAATAAATGATATTTGGCTCAGACCACCTGTAGCAGCTCCAAAATTAAGAAGAAAGAGGCACAAAATTCAACAGTCCCAGCTGTATTGCATTAAAAGCAAAAGTGTTGCCATGATGCCAGACTGTATCGCTAGCTAGGAAGGGAAGAGACTATTTGCAGAGTTTGGAAACACATGCCAGCAGAGCCTTTGAATGTGTGGCTCCCCCTTACTCTCTTTCCTATAATCTCCCTTTTATCGCATCTGTGACACACAAATACAAACCCATGTGTTGTATGCCACACAATAAAAATGTGTAGCATCTGTCCTGTTTATCTGGAGAACAGCTGTTCACAGTTGTTTTTTTTAGCTTACCAACAAATGGCTGTTCTGCCTGTAGGTAAAGCTTTCAACTAGGGGTCCGCCAGAGCGTCAACTTGTGGTCTGTGAGGGTACTTTCCTGTGGATTCATTCAATAAAACTAATACAAATCAAAGGTTTTGGGTTCATTTATAAAGCTAGTTATTTAGCATGTATAAATGTGATCAAGAAGTCACATATATATATATCAAATTAAAGTACATATTAATATTTTCGCAGCATTTATCAAAGTACAATCAATAGCCATAATGTACGATAATTTGATGAAAACCAAACCAAATGGTT